CACTGAGGGCTCTGTATTACGGTTCAAACAGGATAAAGCATTGACAAATTTCAGACCGGAGGACTAGTGAGCAGGGAGGACAGGGAGAAAGAGAGATTAAGAGCTACACCATTGTTTACCTCCTCCTCTAAGGTGCAGGATACTCTGTCGTTTATAAATGTTGGGAGCTGTTATTGGTTACCTCGCAGGCTTCTGGAGAAAGAGGAAATGGAAATGAAAAAAAAAAAAAACTTTGGGAAAGACCCAGGAGGGGGTTCGATACAACTTTAATAATGCGTAGCAGGAGCTAAATGAGCCATTCTGCGGTACTTTAAGACGTCTCCCCTCAACCCGTCCCCCACCACCACCACCCTCCACCTCACCCCCCTGCTCACGGTCTCAGGGCCTGAATTATTAAAAGTGTTGTTTTCCCTTATTGCATTGCAGCAGTGTGCCTCGTTGCTAGAAATGAGCTGCACATTCTGAGGCTTGAATGCGAAAAGCAACCCAACTCCAGCGGCGGAGTCGGGGCAGGAGGCTGGAGAGCACGCCGCCGGGGGCACACACACAAACACCTTGCTAAATAACCACAGTTTCTACTCTCAGATGGTGCTTTCTCAGATATTAAGTAGTTTGTAACCAAAACACTTTGTAAACAGGGTCTAACTGTATTTCATTATATTGTAAGGCAGCAGCTAATCATTACATTTATTGTCAATTGTTATTCTATTAAATGTCAGAAAATAGTGAAGTATGCTCCTCACAGTTTCATAGAGGCCAAGGTATTGTTATTAAATCATTTTTACTCCCAGCCAATAGTCCCAAACCTAAAAAAATTGTGTATTTACTGTAAAATTACACAAATTCAGTAAAAATTCACAGTTACAATGCAGAACTAGGGAATGTTTTTCTTAGAATGATTTAAATGATTGATTTAAACAATTAACACATTTTCAGAATAGTTGACTACTGTTTTAATGTTAAACAATGTATCAGTTAAACAACTTGTCATTTCAGCTTCAATACTTTGTTTTAATTTGAATAATTACTTTTCAGATACAGTAATTGCATCTCTAATACCCATAAAGACTGTTTGCTTTGTTTTTACATTAGCTCAGATTCATACGTAGACTCATATTCCAGCTAATGTTGAACTGCTATCAGGCTTTTATTTTTTTTTTAAAAAAGGAATACCGACTATACTGCAAAAATCACTCTTATCTTATCAAGGCCTTTTTTGTCTTTTGTTTAAGCTTTACATTAAAAAATTCTTTTAAAAAGTGCCATCTTGCTTATCTTTAAGTCACATCATTTCCCCCAACCATTCTATAAAGTCAAGTTACATTTTTTCTGTGTTCACATGCAGCAATCTCCTTGATTCTTTCTTGATTCAAGATGCCAACACTGATCTAAACGCTGAGGCGCCGTGGGTTTTATTGGAAACAGGAAGAACTTTCCTCACTGAACTGGCAGATCTTTTTTCTTCACCTGTTTTAAGGAAAGAAGGTTTTCAGGCCGAATACAAAGAGCTTATGTATAAAGATCAAGAGTTTAGCCATGTTGACAGGGTATCATCTCTGATGTAACATATATGATGCATTTTCTTGATTGTGAGGCAAACGGTAATAAGTTCTGCACCATTTGTGCAGAATGCTCAAACTGATTCTAATTGAACAAGTTCTAGAAAATTAGAAACATTGTTTAAAGTTGAGGTTGAATCTTGGCATTTAGAATAACTTATAAGCAAAGTCATTCCTGAAATGTTGTTTGGAGGTTCAGGCTTTAAATCTATTTTGGACAAACTCGCCGTTTATATTTGTACTAAGGTTTAAAAAAAAATCTGCTCTGACTTGCAGCCAAACGAAAACTGAACCAGACTCAACTGGGCATCACTCACTTAATAAAACAATACCCTCTCCTTCCCTTCTTCTGCTCTTGCAGGTAGTGTACATGCCCAGTCATATGGGTATTAAATCATTTTAATGCCTATGGTTAAATGTCTTGAATAAAAAAGTTGCAAATAATGCAAAGAAACATTCAGTT